CACACACACACACACACACACACTGACTCACTCACTCACACACACACACACACTCTTTCTCTCTCTCACACACACACACACACACACACACACACAGACACACACAGACACACAGACACACAGACAGACACACACACACACACACACACTCTCCCTCACTCACTCACACACACACACACACTCTTTCTCTCTCTCACACACACACACACACACACTCACTCTCACACACACACACACTCACTCTCTCACACACACACACACACTCACACTCTCTCTCACACACACACACACACACACACAGACAGACTCTCACACACACACTCTCTCACACACACACACACACACACACTGTAACACTCACACACACATTCACACTCTCACACACACACACACACACACACACAGGTTTGTTTTTGTGAAAACTCTCCATAGGTGTAATGGTTTTTATACTGTACAGACCGTATATTCTATTGCCCTACACCAACCCTACCCCTAAACCTACCCCTCACAGGAGACTTTCTGCTATTTCAGATTTTCAATACACTCCATTCTGTGTGATTTATAAGCGTTTTGAAAAGTGGGGACATGGGGTAATGTCCTGAAAAGTCACCTTCTCCTTGTAATACCTGTCATACCTTTGTCATTATACACATTTATGTCCTCATTTGTCACAAAAACGCGTACACACACACACACCCTCACACTAAAATAATTAAAACTGGCATAAAATGTAATAAATACTATATAGACATTACAAAAGCTAATAAAAATCACCAACAAAATTACTAAAACTTTAACTAAAATTAAAGTGAAAAGAGAACCTATAAAAATAAAACCTATAACAAATACTAATGTGGTTTGTGTGGTTGGTCCTCAGGTGGAGCACAGAGACGGCGTTCTCCTCCGACCTCTTCAGAGCTCCAGCATCTTCACGTCTCCCGTCTCAGACGACAACCTCATCGTCTCTAACCTCTCTGCGTCCGCAGGAGTCCGGTCCGAGTGGTCGTGGGCCGCGCCGGAGTCTTTCCTCAACAACAAGGTGATCAGCAGCAGCGCTCCTCACTGCTCCTCCGGTCTGTCATTACACTCAGACTCATTAGCACATGTTCAGAGAACTAGCTTCTGCCCCGGGTGATTAATCACATTAAAAGAAGTAATTATAACATTCATTTCCATCAGCTTGCAGTGAAAGACCTCTCAATTCAAGATGATAGCAGAACTGTTCCTGAGATTACAGTCATTGTGGATGTTATTTTTATTACTTTTAATGCACTTATTGTTTTGCACAAAAAAGGAAACATATTCTTTAAATATGAACCTAAAATCGTGGCGAATCACTGCACGAGTGAGTCATTGAATCATTCACTCAACCGATTCGTTCAAATGGCGAATTGATTCAGTAACATCTTTTTCATCTAAATAATAACTGTTGTCTTCTTTAGAGCCGATTTAAAGCTGAAATCGAATTGATTTCTTAATTAATTAATGTTACAACATTAACGTAATTTTCCGATTTGTTTCTGTCAAGTTGCTTTGAAACGATCTGTATCACATAAAGCGCCATCGAAATAAATGCGACTTGAGTTGAATTAAAACCGTATATAATGACCTACAATCATCTGTGAACCCGTTTAAACACATTAACACAGTATTGTCATAAATGTGACCCTGGAGCACAAAACCAGTCATAAGGGTCAATTTATTGATATTGAGATGTATGCATCATCTGAAAGCTGAATAAATAATCTTTCCATTGATGTATGGTTTGTTAGGATCGGACAATATTTGAAAATCTGGAATCTGAGGGTGCAAAAAAATCTAAATATTGAGAAAATCATCTTTAAAGTTGTCCAAATGAAGTTCTTAGCAATGCATATTACTAATCAAACATTAAGTTTTGATATATTTACGGTAGAACATTTACAAAATATCTTCATGGAACATGATCGTTACTTAATATCCTAATGATTTTTGGCATAAAAGAGAAATGTATAATTGTGACCCATACAATGTATTGTTGGCTATTGCTACAAATATCCCCCAGCGACTTAACACTGCTTTTGTGCTGCAGGGTCACTTATTATTAATATACTGTCATCATTTGTCTTATAGCTGACGTCATATGGAAGTTTCCTGAACTACAGCGTTGCTTATGACACGTCTGAGGATAACGTGGACCGAACGCTTCAAGCTCATTTCAGCGTAATTATTGAGGTGAGATGATAATTATTCTGCATTCGTGTCATGCTAGAACAATCGTATTATTGATTAATCACGAACTTCTGCTTGAGCTGTTCACGTACTGAGACTCAAGGGATGAGTTTATTAGATGTATAGTTGTTTATGTGCTGCATGAGTGTGGATCTGGTGTGTTTCAGGGAAACGGGCGGATGCTGCGTGAGGCTCGGTCCGCTCGTCTGCTGCTGAACGCTCACACCGAGCAGCACGTCTCGCTCCTGATGCTGCCGCAGACGCTCCGAGACGCTCGCAGCGGGAGCCGCGTTCAGAGAGACGAGCTGATGACGGTGCTGGCGGACGTCGCTGCGCTCAGGGTTCGAGCTCAGCTGGAGGACAGCGCCGAGGGAACGCTCAGGTCACACACAGATTCACTTCAAATTCACTGTTTTTAACTTCGTCACATAAAAACAATATAGGACACATTCAGTGGCAGACCGCTGCGTATGACACATCTGATGCATGTGAGAAAGTGTATATATATATATATAATCATATTCATTTATTCAGCAGACACTTTTATCCAAAGCATCACAAGCATTTTATCAAATATAATTATTTGTACTGGACATAAAACTGTATTTTAGATTTTATATATTATTTTTGTAAACTTATATTATTTATATATTGTTAATATATGTAATTATTAAAAATGTTGTAATATTAATATTATTAAAAAATATATATATAGGTATTTTATTGTTATATATTATATATATTTATTTATGTAAATCAATTAATATTTTGTTATTTATTTATTTGTATATTATTTGTTATTATTAAATATATTAATATATGTAATTAATAATAATATTTGTTATTATTTATATTATTAAGTAGTATATATAATTATTTATTTGTTGTTTATATATTATTTATTAAATAAATTAATCGTATATGTAATTATTAATAATATTTGTTATTTATTATATATAGTTATTTTATGTTATTTATTTGTTATTTATATATTATTTGTTATTATTAAATATATTATAAT